GGCATCACAGCTCACAGCAACCTCAAACTCTTGGGCTCAAGCAATCCTCTTGCCTCAGCCTCCCAAGTAGCCGGGATTACAGGTGCCCGCCACAACACCTGGATACTTTTTAGAGAGGGAGTCTTGCTCTTGCTCAGGCTGGTCTCAAACTCCTGAGCTCAAGTGATCCACCCGCCTCGGTCTTCCAGAGTGCTGGGATTACAGGCATAAGCCTGGCCCATGCCCTGGCAATTCTAAACTAGTCCTTCTTAATAGTCTATGCTACAGATTGTTCCTGGACTATGATTTATTATTTTTCTTTCAGTAGACTCATTGTTTTCTGTCCTTATCCATAAGCCTAAGCAGTATTCAGTGAACTCAAGGGTTTTGGGTATTAGTTTTAATATTTTTTCCTAGCAGACATGACAATACATGTATACTAAAGAGCAAGGAAGCCATCAAAGGCTACTAGAGCTGAGTCCAAAGGATGCAAGGTTCATAAGGCCAAAGGACAGGACAATTTCAACATCAAAAATTAAAATAGCAGCAAGGGTTAAGTCGTACCAATGACTGTCTTTATAAATGCATGGGTTCACAACAATACTGAAAATTCACTGTCACCATTAGAGGCTGGGTCTCAACTCGTTTTACTGAAAATTGATAAAAGAAACAGCCAAACATTTGTTCTGGCCTTTTCTGTATGAATCATTAGCTGAAGAGTGAAAGCCCTTTGTAGAAGCATTCTAGCTAATGTATGCAAAAGGAATAAGAGAATTGGAAAAGGATCGTGATATGACTACTAATGAAATAATGCACCTAGGCAACATTCGTCACTGGTGTTAAAATACGTGCTTATGAGGAGGGTGGATGGGGAACTTCGTAATAGCTGGGTCAGGCTGACAGCATCTGAACCCACTAATCAGTTTAAAATGACAAAAAGGGCCAGGCGCCGTTGGCTCACTCCTGTAATCCCAGCACTCTGGAAGTCTGAGGTAGGAGGATTGCTTGAGCTCAGTAGTTAGACACCACCTTGAGCAAGAGTGAGACCTTGTCTCTAAAACTAGCCAGGCATCATGTGGCAGGAGCCTGTGGTTCCAGCTACCTGGGATGTTGAGCAAGAGGATCACTTGAGCCCAAGAGTTTGAGGTTGCTGTGAACTATGACCCCAAGGCACTGTAGCGAGGGCAAGAAAGTGAGTCTCAAAAAAATAAATAAAACGACAAAAAGAGAGGTGAGCAGACGTTATATGCCCCTCTGCTCCCTGCCAGCGTGATGCCATGGAAGGACACCAGACACCTTAAAGTAACTACAGAACCTGGATCCAATCAAGCCTTTGGCTCCACTACCATTTTAATTTTACCAGAAATAGTGGGGACCGCAGGAGGTGCTAAATTATACCAAGAGAACACAATCAGCTGAATCTAGGATGTGGGAACTCACTAAACAAAGGACTTGATATCTTTGGAAAATGAATAGGGTTAGGGAAAAACAAGGAAGGGCAACTGTTGCAGATCAAAAGAGATTTAAGGGACAAAAAAAAAAAAAAATACCAATGTAACATCCGAATCTGGTTTGGATTTGAACAACCCAACTGTCAAACATATTTCTGAGACAAATGGGGAAAACCGAACACAGAACTGGGTGTTAAATGTAGTCATTATAATAATTTTCATAGAATAGTACTATTGTGAATATGGTACAAAGAGTCCTCATCTGTCAGAGACACACAGTGAAATATCTGCGGGTGAAATAATACGGTGTTTGGCATTTAAGATACTCCAGCTAAAATCACAAAGAAGAAAAACTGTGAAAAGAAGGAAGGAAGGCAGGCAGGAAGGAGGAAAGAGAAGAAAAGGACTCGATATTTAACGAACACAAAATAACAGGAGCTGTTCTCTACGGTGCTTTTGTTATGTTTTGTTTTTACCAGATCTGGCATGCTCTCCAGAACGCTCAGGATCTCCGGATCGCTCAGCTTATTGTGGGAAAGGTCGAGGACGCAGAGTCTCTGGCACTCCTTCAGATGCTGGATGTCCTCCACCGTCTCCAGGTGATTGTGGGCAATTTGCAGGGTGTTCAGCACCGGGAGGCAGGCTGGAAGGGGAGGTGGGCAGGAGTATAAACGACAAAGGCACGCAAACGCTTTTCACCTGTAACATTACATTTTAGAGCCTCCCCCGGGGAAAGTGAGGAACACAGAGAAAGCCAGCTTGCTGGACTCGCTTACAGAGGTTTTCAATAGTCCTGATGTAATTGTTGCTGAGGTTGAGAGCATCCAGTTTCTGCAGAGGCTCTAGGTTCTCAATTTTACGAAGCAAGTTCACTTGCAAAAAGAGGCACCGCAGCTCGGTTTGGGCCTCCAGGTTCTCGATTCTCTGTATCCCGTTGCACTCCAACCACAGACAGCGCAGTCCTGTGTACTCTTCCAAGTTCTCGATGCGATCGAAACCTAGTGAGAAGGACGGGCGTGTCAGTTAAGCTCCCACACACATACGGGGTAGGGGGCACGCGGAAGGCTCTCACCAAGCATTTCCTGAATACATAAATGAACAATCAAATGACTGATAGAGCATGTTGGCCCTCCCAAACTCAGCACAGACTGGGAGCTCTCATCTCTCTGCATCATTGCTAGCAGTAGCTGTGTCTATGAACCTGAACTTAAATCTACTTGTGATCTTGGACCCCAGTCCCGAGCCCTGTTCACACCTCTCCATTCTGAAAGGCATCCAAAGATCCTCATCCTTTATTTTCTTTCTGTCTTTTTTTCTTTTTGAGATAGAGTCTTACACTGTTAGCCTGGGTAGAGTGCCACAGCGTCATTATAGCTCACAGCAACCTCCAACTCTTGGGCTTGAGCAGTCCTCTTGCCTCAGCCTCCCAAATAGCTGGGACTACAGGTGCCCACCACACCTGTCTGGTTTTTCTATTTTTAGCAGAGACGAGGTCTCACTCTTGCTCAGGCTGGTCTCTAGCTCCTGAGCTCAAGAAATCCACCGCCTTGGCCTCCCAGAGTGCTGGGATCACAGGTGTGAGCCACCACGCCCAGCCTCATCCTTTGTGCCCAGCCTCATCCTTTGTTTTCTATGCCAGTCTTCAATTCTCACAAGCCCAGAGCACTTATAAATCAGCTTTCTGGTTTGAAAAATTAAAAGTCCTTAGAAAACTTCCGTCAAAAGATACCAATGTGGTTCCTCTGTATTCATATAGCCAGTGGCTCTTGTATGAATTCTACTCAAGCAAGACTTTTTCTTCAAAGAAATGCTGCTGCTTTTCCCGTAAATCTCCACTAAACTCTGAAATTTCTATTTAGATATAATCTGAGAACTAAAGATGATTCCAGCAGGTAATTTTTTTATGCCTATGCCACTAGACAGACAGTCTTTCTGCCTGACCTGAGGCATCTTCTCCACCAGGTCCTTACCTTTGTAGTGGAGATACAGTGTATCATTCAATGCTGGGGTAACATACAGCTTGTGCTGCTTGCAGAGTTTTTGCAGGAAACTTTTAGTCATTCTGTTAAAATGGAAAATATGAACAAGAAATGTACTTCAATTTGGCAGCTATGAAATATGTTCTGAACGTTCTTCACCACATCCATTCCTGTCCCAAATTCTACAACACCCTATAAGCCTGGTACCTATTTTAAGTTCTTTTTATTCTTTCTGTTTTTGTGTGTGGTATAGATTTCAAGGCTTCATCCAATGTCATCACTCTCAGATTCTTAAAATTTGTGATGTTACCTTGTAATAAAAATTCTTTTAATAGTGTCATTAGGAACTACTGCTATTCCTCTCTCCCGGGCTGAATTAAAGTTTAATAGCATGTGGTTAGTTAGGCCACAGAGGCAGCACCAACCTGACTTCACTACTTAATTATTCACAGACACTGGGCAGGCTAGTCAATCTCCATGCGCCTCAGTTTCTTTATCTGCATAGGGGGTGAGCACACCATTTACACGGCTCCATCAATGTGCACCAATTGGCAGCATGCCCACATACCTGGGGCCCTGATCTTCCCTGTCTTCTCTTGGGGGTGCTAAGTGACTGTCTGGCCCACTATCTCCACTCTGTTTCTTCTGGGTTTCGTAGGTATCAGAAAGACCCACACATGTTTCCTTAGGGTCATTAATTTCTGTAAAATAAAAGAGATCGGGTCAATAGAGATCAAGAAAGGTACAAAAAAATCCCTCAATTTCTGCTTGGTTAATAATCATCTTCTTCTAGAATAGAATACCAGTACTCCTTAAACGCATAACTTTTGTAAACTTTTTCTAAATGCATAACTTTTTAAAGCATTATCTAAGACTACCTAAATTTCACTTCTAGGTAGAGTCTCTATAAAAGGACTCGTAAAGTTAACAAGAAAATGTGTACAAAGGTATTTGTTTCTGCACTGGTTGCAAAAACCAAGTACTGTTTATAGTTGCAAATATCATCAGTAGGTACTGGTTACATAACTCAGCTCCTTCTACCTTTAAAAAGAATGTACTACAACTACCTATATCAATATGAATTATTCTCAGCAAAATATACGCAGTGACCAAAGCAAGTTCTTAACAGGCACAGGCTACCATTCATATAAACTAGCAACACTATGCTTTGTTTAAAGGAACAGTATAGAGCGAAGTGATGGGGAGAATCCATACAAAATTCTGAACAATAAAGAAAAGGAATGAGATTAGAATTGGGGGCAGGCACAAAAGGATATCAAATTTATGTGAAATGTTTTCTTTCTTTCCTTTTTTTTTTTTTTTTTAAGAGACAGAGTCTCACTTTGTTGCCCTCAGTAGGGTGCCGTAGCATCACAGCTCATAGCAACCTCCAGCTCTTGGGCTTGGGCGATTCTCTCGCCTCAGCCTCCCAAGTAGCTAGGCCCACAGGTGCCTGCCCCAACGCCCGGCTATTTTTTTTGTTGTTGCAATTTGGCTTGGGCCGGGTTTGAACCCACCACCCTCGGTATATGGGGCCAGTGGCCTACTCACTGAGCCACAGGCGCTGCCCTGAAGTGTTTTATTTCTTTAATTAAAAAGGATTGCAAGTAAATATGAATGATAATCATTTTCTGTTCTTGGTGGCAATATGTGGGTGTTCATTATAATGTTCTCTATTCTTTTGTCTTTAAAAAACATTTCTCAAAAGAAAAACCACATGAAGAGAAACAAAAATAGTGGGAGAATCTTTGACAACAAGAAAATGAGCACATTCAAATCCACTTAATTTTTTAAAGATCAATCAGAATTGACCAATTTAAATGCACTTAGTATCAAAGGCTGTTGGTGGCTACCCTCTGTGTGTCTTCATGTAGTCTACTGTACAAGGCGAAACGCTCCATGTAGGGACTGTGTCTTAAACTCATTAAGGTCTTACTGCATAGAAAGCCCAGCCAGAGGCATCAGATAAATGTTTGTGGGATAAATTAAGAATAGGTACTCAACATACTGTATATAATTGATTACACTAATAACAAGAGCTACCATTTGTTAATGGCCCAGTATATAATGGAAACTTTAATTATCTCTGTACATTCCTGTATAATTATCCTTGCTTATAGATGACTAAAGCTCAGAAAGGTTAAACTCTGGGCCAACAGCCATCAAGCCTGCAGCTACAGTATGAACACAATGTCAGTGGCTCCAAGGCCAAGGTCTTTCCACTGAGCAATACCAGCTCCCTGCAGCTCTCCATACAGGGTTTGCCTGGATAGCTGACGCTCAAGATATATTTGCTGACTAGGTTCAAAACGTGAAGCACAAATCAATTGGTTTCTCTTCCTAACTGTTAAAATGTTTCCCTTCAGGGCCCAAGCCTGCTGGGAGCAGAGGCTGAAGCCTATCTTTCAAGGCCATTCCTGGATACTTTCGTCGGGGGGAGGGTGGTCACACACTGACCCCAGAACCACTAATTCTTCATTCAGTTTCTCTAGCATAGTCGGGCACTGGACTCAACGCTTCAAATTCAATCAGGATGTCCTGTATGACGTAGCATGCAGTCTGGTTGGGGAGAAAGTCTTGATCTGACATGGTGATAGCAATAAATGTATACATTCAAAACTTAAAAGTTGAGAGTGGGGAGAATGCTGTGTTGGACTAGAGCTTGGGCTCCCTAGTTAGACTCTCCCGCCCCGCGTCTGTGTTCTGCCACCGACTAGCTGAGGATAATCTGTTTAGAGCGAGTTTTAGAACCCCTTTCAGTTTCCGTGAGCTCATCCGTATGAGGCCAGGGGAGCAGCGCCAACTGCAGAGCGCCCGCGTTTGGCTGAGACGCGGTGAGCGCCCCGCATGTAATCGTTTACTGAGTGCTGGTTGCTACTGTTAGGGTTATTGTCTGTCCCTGAAGAGCTCGTATGTGGTGTTGGGAGGAGGCTGGAGGCCCCAGCCGGGTCGGCCCATCGCCCCCCTCACTCCCGAGGGGCGGTCGGCACCTTCCTTGCGGCCCCCTTGGCCAGCGTTCCCGTGGTCACCCGCGGACTCCTCCACGCCTGGCTCCTGCTGGCAGTTCGGCTCCGCGGCTGACTCCGCCGCGGGCTCCGACGGCTCGGGGTGCATGTTTATTCCTGCCACGCCGAACACCCCGCCTCAGTGGGGAGCCCCGTTCCGCTGTGGCTACTGCCCCCAGGCCGGTTAGAGAGGCCCTGGCTTTGTCTCGCCGCTGGCCGCGGGCCTCCGGCGCCCAGGTCCTTTGCAGCCCAACGCTTTTCTGGTCGCCACAGCAACCGCCGCGCACGCGCACTCGGGGTCGGCCAGCTCGCCAGGAACGCGAGGGGCGGGCTCTGCAACAGCTCCGCCCCTGCGCGTGCGCGGGTCACGTGGGTGCGCGGCCGGCGGCAGCTGCGGTGCTGGTGACGGGGGCGGTGGCCGCGCGGGTCTGGCGGGACTGGCTTTGAAGAGTCCGCTGCCCTGCAGGTACCGCGCCCCTTCTGCCCCAGACCCCGCTTCGTGCCCCGCAGCCCCCGCCGGCTGCTCGGCTCGACCCCTGCTCCAGCGCCCTCACCACGCCCCCTGAGGCCCCTCTGCGCTGTAGGTGCAGCGATCCCTGAGCACCTCTGCCCCCAGCAGACTCCGTTCCTTCCCTCCCTCACACCCCCTCGTTTCAGGCCTAGCACCCCTTACCCCCACATCTTAGAGCCCCACTGCCCCAGTCTCTACACCCTCGGAGGTCTCCCTCCCTGGGGTCCCAGCCCCCCTTCCTGGGACCCAGCAGACCAACCGGGCGGCCCCACCCACCCAGGGCTGGGCGCGTCTTTTCCCGCCGACCCCAAGGTGGCTCCTCCCCTAAGAGGTTCTAAGAACCACCTTCTTTATTCTCCTTTCTGAACGTTTTCGCGTGGGTAGCTTTGGGTTGTTGCAGTCTTTCTGTAAAATAGAAAGAATTCGGAATAATAGAGCCCTTAAAGAAAGGGCCCGCGGATTCCTGGCGCAGCGGTGGTTGGTTCAGCCAGGATTTCCGAGTTTGCTCGTGTTTGCTGGGCCCTGCTAGGGGCTGGAGGGGAAGCGCGGTGAAGACGAATGAGGCATCTCCCGGTTCTAAAGGAACGTAACCCACAAACCAGACCTTGGCGACTGTATGTACCAGGATGTGTGCAAATTATTACTGTGAGGCCGTCGGAGGAGGGATGGTGGTGTCTCACAATGGGGTGTCCATCCAGGGATCTGTGCTTTGGTAGACACTGATCTGAATTCCTGTCGGGCCTCTTAGCTGTGAGATCTTGGGTCGGGGCTACCTTACCTCCCTCTGTTAGCCTTAATTTCCCCATCTGTAAGCTGGGAATGATTGTAACTCTACGTCATAGAGTTGACAATAAAATGAGACCGTAGGAATAAAGCAGTCAGAGTCTTGCATGCAGTGAGCTTTCAATTTTAACTCTGAATAGCCAGTAGCTAACATGTAACACTCTGAATACTGGCAGCTAAAAGGGAAGGTCTGTTGGCA